TCTGCAGCCTCTGCATTCCCCTCCCCTCTGCCAGTGTTGGGCTCTGAGCAACATGGTCAAGGCTAATCCACCTTCAAGGTTGCCCTGTGGGACCTAAGCAATGCCTGAGTTATTTTTACTGCCCTCCCACACATGCATACACACACACAGACACAAACAAACACACATATGCACACATGCACACACATGTGCACACATTCACACACACATCCATACAAACCCTTGCATGCACGCACACAGACACAAACACACACGCACACGCACGCATGTACACACACACGGACATGCACATATTCACACACACATGCGTGCACACACACACACACAAAGTGCCGTGTTGTGTATCCTCTTGATGCAAAAAAATGCATCAGACTCTGATCGGAAAATAAAAGAAGCTTGGAGAGGTGGCTCAGCCAGTCAAACTCTTGCCATGCAGGGAGGACATGAGTTCAATTCGCTGCGTCCGTCCGTGTTAAACGAGGCTGCTGTGTTGGCTGGTTTTATGTCAACTTGACACAAGCTAGGGTCATCTGGGAGGAGGGACCTCGATGGGAAGAAGCGCCTCCATAAGACCAGGCTGCATGCAAGTCTATAAGGCATTTTCTTAATTAGTGATTGATGTGGACGGACTCAACCCACTGTGGGTGGTGCCATCCCTGGGCTGCTGGTCCTGGGTTCTGTAAGAAAACAGGCTGAGACGCCAGGGAGCAAGCCCCCCTCCATGGCCTCTGCTTCTGCTCCTGCCTCCAGGCTCCTGCCCTCACTGCTGTTGATGATGGACCTGTGGACGTAACAAACTCTTCTCAAGCTGCTGTGGTCATCGTGGTCCATCACATCATCAGTGACCTGACTAAGACAGCCGGGTATCATGCTGCATGCCTGTTCCCCAGCTTGGGGAGGCAGAGACCGGAGGATCCCTGATGCTTGCTGGCCTGCCAACCTAATCAGTGAGGTCCAGTGAGAAATCCTGCCTAAATAAAATAAAATGAAAAATAAAAGGATAGTGACGAAGGAAAAATACCTGAGATCATGCACTGGCATTCACAACACACACACAGATAGAGAGGCAGAGGCAGAGACACCGAGACACTGAGAGACAGAGAGACAACAGAGAGACACAGACACAGAGAGAGAGAGAGAGACCCAGAGACATAGAGACGTAGAGGGACAGAGAGACAAAGAGAGACACAGACACAGAGAGACAGACAAAGAGAGACAGAGAGAGACAGAGAGATGCAGAGAGACAGAGAGACAAAGAGAGACACAGACAGAGAGACAGACAAAGAGAGACAGAGAGATCCAGAGAGAGACAGAGAGATGCAGAGACATAGAGAGACATAGAGAGAGAGACACACACAGACACACACACACACACACACACACACTAAAAAATAGCTCAGGGTCCTAAGCTCACAGCCATAGCCTGAACAACTTCGAGGTTTCTACGGTATGTCTGCCTCTGCTGCGGTGTGCCCGCCTCTGCTGTGGTGGGAAGTGTGAGCTGTGAAGGGCCTGGGCCAGGAAGTGCCTACTGGCTCTGGAGAAGCAGGGGCCCCAGGAAGCCATGAGGTCCGCTGTATTTGAGTCTCCTGAAATAATATTATTTATTATTCTTGGCTGAGCCACTCTCTTACCGGATAGCACTAGGGAGCCATGTAACCTCTCCACTTTGCTGCTTTGTAAATGAGTTAATTGTATTTGCCTGCACCGTGGAGGTGCTGGGCAGCTAAAACAATTAATGGCAGAGCAGAAAGGCCCCTTAAGCGCTGGGTGGGCTGGCCCTCAGATCCTAACACTGCCCAAGTGAAATAGCTAAAGGCCATGTTGGGTTGACTGGCATCCCAGGTAGTAATCACTAAGACATAGACAGCTTTGGGATTAGCAAATGTGGAACCAGGCTTGGGAGTGTACGACCTTGGAAAGATGTGAGCTCAGATCCCAGCTCTGCCACGTCCCAGCTGTGTGACCCTGGAGAATCTGCCTGACGTCTCTGAGCCTCCGTATCCTCTTCTAGAAACCGTGGAAAGCTGTGACTGTATCTTAGAGCTGCTGGCAACAAGTTCTGACCTAAGGTTGCCACACAGTGGTCACATGACTTCAGCCAGGCTCAGGAGACTCTCTGAGTCTCAGTTTCTTTCTGTATGAACTAAAGCTCCTAGAATATTGCTAACAATAGATTTATTTGTCCAGTGTGTGTGTGTGATGTTTTGTTTATTTATTTGTTTATTTCGAAACAGGTCTCACTATGTAGCTCAGACTAGTTTTGAACACACGATCTTCCTGCCTCAGCCTCCTGAGTGCTAGAATGACTGGCGTATACCACTGTGCCTGGCTTTAGTTGCTGTCTCTACCATATGGTCTGATACAGTGACCACTGGGTCTCCAGCTGATAGGACCACAGCACAGTGAAGTCCAAGGTAAGGCATGATTTTGATTCCGTCTGTAGTCTTGACTGTGTTATGTAAAGTCCCAAGCCTCCATTTCTTCATCTGTGACAATGGGTTGGTAATGACAGTTCACCGAGCCTCAGTTTCTTCATCTGTGACAATGGGTTGGTAATGACAGCTCTTTTGGCTACTCAACTCAAAGGTCAATTCTGCTCCAAGGAGTCACAAGTCAATGGGAAAGTGGGATAATTCAAAGGACACAAATAATAAAATAATATACAGAAGGCTCTCGAATGTGCAAACAAACTCTCAACCTTACTGATATCAAACTGAAGTTGGGTGTGGTGGTACATTTGGGAGGCTGAGGCACTAGGGTCTCTGTGAGTTTGAGGTCAGTTTGATCTACATAGTGAGTTCCAGGCCAGGCCTGAGCTACACAGTGAGACCCTGTCTCAAAGCAAAAGCAACAACAACAAATGAACAAGCAAAAACAAAAAGATTATTATTATTATTAGCAAATTGGCAAAGACCAGTTGAGTAAAACTGTATTAGTAAGGGGGAAACAAATTCAGATGAATTGTTACAAACTCTAGGACACAAAAGTCACCCCTTACCATAAGTGTGGCTCAGTGGGTAGAGGGTTTACCTAGCAGGAAGCCATGGACTCCATCTCAGGACCTTATCAACCAGGTGTGCTGCCAAACATCTGTAATCTGGCACTCTAGAGGTAGGGGCAGGAGAATCAAGAGTTAAAAGTCAATCTCACCTACATGGCAAACTTTCAGCCAAAACCTGCGCTGTGTGAAATCCCTGCCTCTGTCCGTCTCTTTCTCTTTGTCTCTTTGTCTCTCTGTCTCTCTCTCTATGTGTGTGTACATGCATGTATATATGTTTATATATACATACTAATATACATATGCAAACATACACAGGTACACATACATGTGTATATATGTACATAGTTTGAGTTATAGGCTCAAACACTCCTGAGCCATAGAAGCACTTCCCTTCATTAATGTGTGGAACATGTCTGTCACTTACTCCTTTACGCTATCCCAGGGGAAGAGTTCAAGTAAAAGATGAAGTGGGTATGTCCCCAAGACAACAGACCCTGTATCCTGCTGGGGAGGGCAGGGGATCCTTAAACCACGAGGAAGATAGTTCTGAAACAAACAAACAGGCAACCTCATGGTTCATGCCCCAGATCCCTCAAAGAACTCCATAAAATGCCAGTTTCTCTGTCGGCAGGCAGGAAACTCCCCCGAACTGGTGTGGCTTACTCTTCCTCAATCCCTCCCATACCTTTTTTTTTTTTAATTAAAATTTTTGCCTGGGGAAGGAAACACAGAATTTCCCCATGGGCTGGGATGACCACGTGTTCTCAGAAGAAGGTGGCAGAGGGAGGGGAGAGCGTGAAGGGATATTGGGGAGCCGCTGGCTGATGTGGTCTTTGAGGATGGAGGGCAGCTGGCCAGGGACCAGAATGAGCCCTGCCTTAGTCCAGTCAAATTTCGTTCATGCTCCCGACCTACAGAGCTGTGGGAGAGAGTCTGGGCTCTGAGGTCACCAGGTCAGTGGTGACTTGTCTTGGCATCTATAGGAAGCCATGTGCCTGTCGCATCAGCAATTCTTCATGGAGACATCAGCAGGCAGACATTCCTGGGAAGGAGCAGGTGGCGGAGCCCGCTTCTCCACTGAAGACTGTCTCGGCAAATGAGCGCACACCCATCGACTGGGGATGGGAAATCAAGCTGAGTGTGTCCACAGAGGCTGGAAGGAAGCGCACACCAATCGACTGGGGATGGGAAATCAAGCTGAGTGTGTCCACAGGGCTGGAAGGAAGGGCAGCAGGAAGGGAGAGAGAGGAGAAACAAGGAAAAGAAAAGAAATAGGAAGTGGAGCGAAAAAATAAGCTCAAGCCAGGGGTAGCCACACATATCTGTAATTCTAGCCCTCTCAAGAGGCTGAGGCAGGAAGATCACTGTGAGTTCAAGGCCAGTCTGGGCTGTATAATTTTTGTATTAAGAAATAAAAAGAATGAGGCCAGCCTGGTCTATAAGAGCTAGTTCCAGGGCAGCTCCAAAGCTATAGCAAAACCTGTCTTGAAAAAAAAAATAAAATAAAAACAAGGAAGGCAAGAAGGAATGAAGGAAGGGAGAAAAAAAAGAAAGAAAAAGAAAAGAATTTTGCAGATTTTCAGGGCAGTTGCTCTCAGGCCTTGAACTCCTAACTTCAGGCTGCCAGAGAAAGATCAGGACCACAGGAGCTGGCGTAGACTAGAGGTGGCAACTTCTCCAGAGAGAAAGGGAACAGCCCTGACTTGGGTGGCTTTCGAGCCTTCATGTTGGAAACAGTCACATCAGCGGGGCTTGCTGCTCTGCCAGTGTTCTGCAGGGTAGCTCTCCCGTTGACAGCTGTGTACCTCAATTCCAAACCAGACAAGGGCCCTCATTCCCAGCTGCACCCAAACCAGGAAGGTGGCACACGGCTCCCTCTGCCATTCCCACATCCAGCATTTAAATCACAGGAAAATGACCCTAGTGACCCCTATTTCAGCAACACCCCCAGGTAAACAGGAAGACACGTGCCGGTCCAGTTCGGTTCCACCCCGCAGCCAGCCCCACGGGAGCTCTTCTTAGCCCACCCGCCACAACCCTTTGTCTTCCCTGCGAGGCACATCTTCCTCCTGCCAGGGGACAATCTGCCTGCGTGAAGCGTTAAATCCCAAGAAGTGGGAAAAACGAAGACAGCAAAACAAAAGCGTTTCCACCGTGCCACCTACAGTGCTCAGAGCTGGGCCCAAGCTATTTTAAAACGAATGTCACGCGGGAAGGAAGGTAAGCCTTTCTCATTCAAAAAAAAAAAATCTTGTCACAGGACAGAACTGGGTGAGACAACCGTGATAATGGAGCCCCAGTGGCTGCTTCAGCCCAGTAGCTGTGTCAGCAAGGCTTCAGAGAACCGAACGCCAGCTTTGCGCTTGCGCGGGGACTCTGGAGGCGGGCTGACCAGATAGGTTCAAAACCCGAGTTTGTGTAACTGGAAGTTTCCAAAAACTGCTGGATATTTATAACCAGGGCTACACCCAAAGCTAGGGTGAGCTGGGGACACTTCCCTTCCCTCCGCTCTCTTCTCATTGGGTAGGAGAGGGCCATGCAGGAGAAGGTGAGCCCAGCAGATGCTAGGAACCCATGGCGATGCCTCACCTAGACCAGAGGGTACAGAAGGGCCTTGCTGGGCTGCTGGAAGGTCACGGTCAAGACACAGCCTGGACTTGAAATTAGAGAGACTAGAGACAGAATCCAAGCTCTGCCATTTGCAGGATATGTTTGTATGGCCCCTCTACCCAAGCGTGTGATTTTGTCAACCTTACACTTCTCATCTGTTAAATGGGTTTGATAACAGCCTCGCGTGAGTTGTCAGCTTTAAAGAGAATGTCTAGTGGCCACCTGATGCCACGTGGCTGCTCGTGCGGCTGCTGCTGTAGCCCTGGGGAGGCACACGATGGGGAGCTGGGTGTGTACACTCATGCCCTCTGAGGCCAACACCAGGGCCTAAGGCAGGAGGATGGCCACAACTTCCAGGCTGTCCTGGTGTACAGTGTGAGACACTGTGTCTAGAACAAATTAGACTCAGCCCTGAAAGAGACATCTGCATCACCACTGCAAGGCTCGGGGAACATGGAGAAAGAGAGGAAGGAAGGGTAAGAGCCCGAAGGTGAGGGGTGCTATGGACACTGCCTTCTGGACGTGGCGGGGCTGCTGTGCCCATGACCTGACTGCAGTTGTGATTGCCCACATGCCACCTACACAAGAATGAGCCTGTCAACATCTGTCACCTCTGGGGTGGGGGTGGGGAGCTCGTGGGGCCCCACCCTCTGGGGGGAGTTAATAACATCTGGGGGAATGGGAAGCTTATTCGTCAGTGGTGTGGCCACTCTGAGTAGCCATACTCACTCAAGCAGCCCTAACTCAACTCAACAGGTCTCTCTCTCTCTCTCTCTCTCTCTCTCTCTCTCTCTCTCTCTCTCTCACACACACACACACACACACACACAATAATAATAATAGAAATAACAAGCAAACAACAACCCCCCCACAAGATAATAGTATGAAGTCTGTTGGGAAGAAGGGGTTCTGAGGAAATAAAAAGGAGATGAAAGAGGATAACCAAAATACTACATACACATATATGAAATTGTCAAATAATAAAATAAAAATTTGGAAGAGAGAAACAATGAAGAACCAGGAGGGAGATTACATGCAGTACTGGGGTTGTCTGGTTTGAACATGTATCAGAGAGACAGTCAGGCGAGGCCTCTGGTGATTCCTCACTCAGCCTCTGGTCCCCAGGAATCTCCTCCAGATATCTGCAGCCAGACAGTGCCAGCTTCCTCAAACCAAACCTCACCCAGATCTCACCAGTCCTACCCTTCCTTTGCCAGCTCCGTGGTGATGTTCACACCCCATGTGCCTGCAGAATCAAGAGTCCCATCTCTTCAGCACCCAGGTCTCCAATGGCAGGTGCATGGTGAATAGATGACAAGGGACCACAGAGGGTGCTGGGTGGAGCAGGTGGGAACTGTGAATCTGTGGAGGAGGGGCCACGGTGCACAGATCTGTGCACACATGCACATAGGTGTGTGGAGTGTAACTTTCCTCCTGGTGGGACATGATCATGGCCACTTTAACCACTGCAGCTGTGGTCCCCTGTTGGTCTCATTTTTGTTTATCTTATTACCTTTTCTTTCTTTTGGACAATACTTGATAATTATTCTTTTTGTATATAGTTTTATGTTAGGGTTAGAACCTTCTTAATTAGACAAAAAGGGGAAATGTTGTGGGAATTTGGTCCAATAAGCCAATGGTATTGAGGTGAATTAGCCCTATGGGCACAATCTTCTCTGGATATGTGAACAGATAAGAACTGAGGATAAGGGTTGTGTACTCTCTGTGGGACAGTGAGGGACCTGGCAGAGTTACAGCTTGGGGTTCCCCTTTGCCCTTGAGGAACGAGGTCATGTCGCAGTGGTGGAGAGCTGGATCAGTGGAGCAGCCAGCTACATGGCTTGGATTCCTCCTCCCTTCTTGTAATCATGGAGCATGGATTTGATTTAATAGAAGATAAAACAGTCTTAAGGATTCCCGCTATAGCACCTGACATGCCATCAGGCCTGCTAGCTTTTGTCTCATGGGGCTCAAGAGGCCCAAGGGACTCATGAGGTTCTCGTGAGACCCTGAGATAATGTGAACGAATTGACTTGCAGGACTCTTGAGGGTGTAGCTGCCCGTCCACCTCCCCGGGGACTGTGGGAGGGTGGTACAGCTCTTTGTGAGTCATCCTCCAAGACACCCAGGGGACTTCTAGTGGTGGCTTTGAGTCACCTGACAGCAACTCTCAGATTGGATGGAACCTTCTCTTCAGGGTGAACAGACGTTTCTTAACACCTTTTCAGGATGAGTCATGTAGTTGTGAACAGACATGTGTGTGCATGTGTGTGTGTGAGAGAGAGAGAGAAAGGAGAGAGAGAGAGAGAGAGAGAGAGAGAGAGAGAGAGAGAGAGAGAGAGAGACTGTGCATCTTCCAAGGACTGAGGCTGTTAGGGCTGTGTAAGTTGTTAGTGGTCTCTTGGAGACCATTGTAGCTCCTCATCTTGACCTTGGAGTCCGAAGGGCAGAGTTTGGAAACAGCAGAGGGATGTTACTCTGACAATTGGCACACTTCAGATCATCTCTAGCATCAACCAACCACCTGAGGTGGTTTTAAGGGCACAGCTCCTGGTGAGACTGCCTCACATGAAACACCAGCTACAACCACGGTCTCCAGGCCACCCACACTTCTGACCAGTGGCTATAAAACCAGAGAGTGGCTACTCCAGTGACCACCCCTCCCCTTTGGTTTAGTCATTCACCGGGACAGCTGGTAGATCTCAGGAAAGCACCATACATACCGAATACTCGTTGTGTGTTATCATAGAAAACACAACCAAGACCAACAAGGGAAAGATGGTCAAGGTGAGGGTAGGAGGTCACTGAACCCAGAGCTCCTGTGAGCCTTCCATTAAGGCAGGCTACCTCTGGCCATGTCTCTGTGTTCACCCCTACCAGGAAGCCCCAGAGCTCATGTGCAAGGGTTTGTATCTGATTTTCTTTCATAGGTGAGGCAGACTGAATCACCACCAAAGGGCTGATCTCAAGTGTCCAGTCTCATGTCCTTCGCAGAGGCCAGGATAGTCCAGAGGGCCAAGTCTCTCATGTGGACACAGACCTTCTGAGGACTGGCCCTGTCCTCAAACATCTATATTTTTTATATTTATTTATTTATTATGTATACAATATTCTGTCTGTGTGTTTGCCTCAAGGCCAGAAAAGGGTACCAGACTCCATTACAGATGGTTGTGATCCACCATGTGGTTGCTGGGAATTGAACTCAGGACCTTTGGAAGAGCAGACAATGCTGTCTGCTCTTAACCTCTGAGCCATCTCTCCAGCTTATCAAACATCTATATTTTAGCATGCCCCTAGATGCATGCAGAGAGTTGGTGGGTAACAAAGACTCTCCTATTACAGGAGAAATCCTAGAGAAATTACACAAGAGGCTCATAAGAAATGAGGATGATTAAGACCATTTCAGGACACCAGGATGGCAGACTGGAATCTGTTGCTGAGAAACCCAAGTGTTTATGTCTGCACCAGTTTCATACAAGATGTGTATTCCTGATCCAATAATCCAAAATCAGAAGAGCTTGGAACCAGAAACTTTCTGGGAGTTGACACGATGTCAAGTGGGAAGTTCCAGGCCTTGCAGCCATTATCCTGTACATTGCTGCAGAGGATTAGATGGGAGACCATCAAGCAGCTGTGTAAGGTGTGGATGAAAGACGTGGATGTTGGGATTAGACTTGGGTTCTATCCCCAAGTCTTTAACATGTTTGCAAATATGAAAGTATAATGAAACACAAAGAAAGCAGTGTTAAAAGGAAAGTTCACAGCACTAAACGCCTACATAAAGAAGCTGGAAAAATCCCACACTAGTGAATTAACAGAACATTTGAAAACTTTAGAACAAAAAGAAGCAAACTCACCCAAGAGAAGTAGACAGCTGGAAATAATCACATTGAGAGCTGAAATCAACAAAATAGAAACAAAGAAAACAATACAAAGAATCTATGATACAAAGAATTGGCTCTTCTAGAAAATCAACAAAATAGACAAACCTTTATCCAAACTAACCAAAAGGCAGAGAGAGAATATCCAAATTAACAAAATCAGAGATAAAAAGGTGGACATAACAACAGACACAGAGGAAATACAGAGAATCATTGGGTCATAGTTCAAAAAACTTGTACTCCACAAAATTGGAAAATTTAAAGGAAATGGACAAATTTCTGGATAAATATCAATTACCAAAATTAAATCAAGACCAGATAAGCAAATTAAATAGACCTATAACTGCTAAAAAAAAATAGAAGCAGTCATCAAAAGTCTCCCAATCAAAAAAAGCCCAGGATCAGATGGTTTCAGCTCAGAATTCGACAAGATTTTCAAAGAAAAACTAATAGCAATACTCTTCAAATTGTTCCACACAAGAGAAACAGAGGAAACATTGCCAAACTCTTTTATGAAGCTCCAGTTACCCTGATACCAGAACCACATAAAGACATTACTAAGAAAGAAAATTACAGACCAATCTCACTCATGAACATTTGATGCAAAAATACTAAACAAAATACTGGCAAATTAAATCCAAGAACACATCAGAACCATCATCCACCATGATCAAGTTGGCTTCATCCCAGAGATGTGGGGATGGTTCAGCATACAAAAATCTGTCAATGTAATCCACCATAAAAACAAACTGAAAAATAAAAACCACATGATCATCTCATTACATGCTGAAAACATTTTTGATAAAATATAGCATCCCTTCATGATAAAGGTCTTGGAGAGAGCAGGGATACAAGGAACATACTAAACATAATAAAGGCAATATACAGCAAGCCAACAGACAACATTTAACTAAATGGAGAGAAACTCACAGCAATCCCACTGAAATCGGAAACAAGATGAGGCTGTCCACTCGCTCCATGTCTATTCATTATAGTTCTTGAGGTCCTAGCTAAAGCAATAAGACACCAAAAGGAGATCAAGGGAATACAAATCAGAAAAGAAGAAGGAAGTCAAACTCTTACTATTTGCTGATGATATGATAGTTTGCATAAGTGACCCCAAAAATTCTACCAAAGAACTTCTACAACTCATAAACGCTTTCAGTAATGTAGCAGGATATAAGATTAGCTCAAAAAAATCAGTAGCCCTCCTGTACACAGATGATGAAAGGGCTGAGAAAGAAATCAGAGAATCAACACCCTTCATAACAGCCACAAATGGCATAAAATATCATGGAGTAACTCTAACCAAACAAGTGGAAGACTTGTATGACAAGAACATTAAATCTTTGAAGAAAGAAATTGAAAAAGACACCAGATAGTGGAAAGATCTCCCATGCTCTTGGATAGGTAGGATTAACATAGTAAAAATGGCAATCTACAGATTCAATGCAATGCGAATCAAAATCCCAGAAAAATTCTTAAAAGACCTCGAAAGAACAATATTCAACTTCATATGGAAAAGCAAAAAAACCAGGATAGCCAAAACAATCCTGTACAGTAAAAGAACTTCTGGAGGCATCACAATTCCTGACTTCAAATTCTACTACAGAGAGGTACAGTATTGAAAACAGCCTTGTATTGGCATAAAAACAGACAAGAGGACCAATTAAACCAAATCAAAGACCAGGATATTAATCCACACACTTTTGAACACATGATTTTTGACAAAGAAGCATAAAATATCAAATGAAAAAAAGAAAGCATATTGAACAAATGGTGCTGGCATAACTGAATGTCAACATGTAGAAGAATGAAAATAGATCCATATCTATCACCATGCACAAAACTCAAGTCCAAATGGATCAAAAACCTCAACATAAAGCCAGCCACACTGAACCTCATAGAAGAGAAAGTGGGAAGTACACTTGAACACAATGGCACAGGAGACCACTTCCTAGATATAACCCCAATAGCACAGACACTGAGAGAACAATTAATAAATGGGACCTCCTGAAACTGAGAAGCTTCTGTAAAGCAAAGAACATGGTCAACAAGACAAAACGACAGCCTACAGAATGGGAAAAGATCTTTACCAACCCCACATCAGACAGAGGTCTGATCTCCAAAATATACAAAGAACTCAAGAAATTGGTCATCAAAAAACAAATAATCCAATAAAAAAAATAGAGTTTAGACCTAAACAGAGAACTCTCAATAGAGGAATCTAAAATGGCTGAAAGACACTTAAGGAAATGTTCAACATCCTTAGTCATCAGAGAAATGCAAACCAAAACAACTCTGAGATTCCATCTTACACCTATCAGAATGGCCAAGATCAAAAACACTGGTGACAACTTAAGCTGGAGAGGTTGTGGGGTAAAGGGAGCACTCCTGCATTGCTAGTGGAAGTGCAAGCTGGTACAGCCCCTTTGGATATCAGTATAGCGATTTCTCAGAAAATTAGGAAATAACCTTCCTCAAGACCCAGCAATACCACTTTTGGGTATCTATCCAAAGGATGCTCAATTATACCACAAGGACATGTGCTCAACTATGTTCATAGCAGCATTGTTTGTCATAACCAGAACCTGGAAACAACCTAAATGCCCCTCAGTCGAAGAATGGATAAGGAAAATGTGGTCCATTTACACAGTGGAGTACTACACAGCAGAGAAAAATAATGACATCTTGAAATTTGCAGGCAAATGGATGGACTAGAAAACATCATATTGGGTGAGGAAATCCAGACCCAGAAAACAATTATCATATGTACTCAGTCATAAGTGGTTTTTAAACATAAAGCAAAGAAAACCAGCCTACAAATCACAATCCCAGATAACCTAGACAACATTAGGACCCTAAGAGAAATGTACATGGATCTAATGTACATGGGAAGTAGAAAAAGACAAGATCTCCTGAGTAAATTGGGAGCATGGGGACCATGGGAGAGGGTTTGAAGGGGAGGGAAGAGGCAGGGAGGAGAACAGAGAAAAATGTATAGCCCAATAAAATAAAATAAAGAAATTCAAATGGGGCAGAAGTATTGCACTCCTATAATCGCAGAACTCAGGAGGCAGAGGCAGGTGGGTCTCTATGAGGTCAAGGCCAGCCTGGTCTACAGCATGAGTTCCAGAACAGCCAGGGCTACTCAGAAAAAAAAAAGAAAGAAAAGAAAAAAACTGAAAACAAACAAAAAATAAGCAAAGGAAGGAAGGAAAAGGAAGGAAGGAAGGAAGGAAGGAAGGAAGGAAGGAAGGAAGGAAGGAAGGAAGGAAGGAAAGAAGAAGAAAAGACAGGAGAGGAGAGGGGAGGGGAGGGGAGGGGAGAGGAGAGGAACTGAAAACACTTCTGGTCCTAAGCCCTATGGGTAATAAATACTCTATAATCAAACTCAAAACCTCAGTTGGGGTCAGTAAAATGGCTCAGCAGGTAATGGAGCTTGCTGCCAAGCCTGATAACCTGAGTTCGAGCCCCAGGACCCACATGGTGGAATGAGAGAGCTGACTCCAGCTGGTTGTCCTCGCATTATACCGTGGCACCCATACATGAGAGCTATGGCATGTGTGTAGTGGTCAGTGGTCAATTTATCTGTTCTCACCTTCTACCACAGTGGGTCACCGGGCTTGGCAGCAAACTACTTTACCTCCTGAGTCATCTCCTTAGCCCTGGTCTCTCCTATTCTTAGCACCCAGAATAACGAAGCTGCCCATCCAAGAGACCTCATCTTTCTGTCTCTGAGAAAGTGCACTTTTCGCCCAAGGGGAATCTTCAGCTTCCATTTGCTGCCCACGGGTGACCGTGGGCTGAAGCGAGTACTGCCTGGCTTTAATGCAGGCCTTGCCCCCGTGGAAGGTGAATCCGGTGGATGTCTGGATTTTCAGTGTGTCTGTGTGGAAGCAAGCTCTGAAGGTCTATCTACATGGGTTCTTTAAGAGCCTTGCATGTATTTTTATTGGCATGAAGGTTTCCCAACAGACTCCACAGCAATCGGGGGGAATTGCTCATTGGCCAGCAGAAGATCTGAGCTCTGGAACACCGAAGACAGGATGGACACTCAGTGCTGTGCACATGAGCAGGTCCCCACTGTTACTATCTTAAGCATGTCCTGGCCTGACCTGACTCCAGCTTGTGTGTGTGTGTGTGTGTGTGTGTGTGTGTGTGTGCACATGCCTGCACACGTGTGTATGTGCAGATGCCTGTGTCACGGAACACCCGGCAGTCAGAGGACAACCTTGCATGCTGGTCCTTACCTTCCATCTCCTCTGAGACAGGGTCTCTTTGTTGTCTGAAGGACCCTCCCGTCTCCACCTCCCATCTTGCTGCTGGAGACCTGGTCTTACAGATAGGCTGGCTTTAAAGGATTCTGTGGGATTCAAATTCAGGTTCTCGGGGTTGCATGGCAACTCCTTTATCCCCTGAGCCATCTCCCCAGCCTCCACCAGGCTTCTTGGAAGTTCCTGCCATGTGAGTCCCAGCTTGCCCTTGGCCTGTCTTCCTCACAGGCCTGAGGAGAGGGAGAGGCTGTGATAGGGTTCTTAATGATCTTTCTCTGGATTCCACTGCTCTGACTGACTTCATCGTTAATGAATATTCATAGAGAGGGATGATTTGCTAATTGAGTTCTGACTAGACAGGTAAGTACTTGCAAGCAAGACCATTACGTAATGGGATGCAGGGAATGTGTACGCATATTAAAATGTGCCATAGGAAGGGACAGGGCTGGAGGTCTTCTCTGCATTCTTTCCCTGGCTCCAAACACAAGCTAGGATGCGCACAACAGGACCTGAAAAGGCCACACATCATCTGGGGCTAGCAAGCCACCAGAAGCAATGCCCACTTCAGGAGTAAACGGTGGATAATTGTTGTCCCCAGTGGGTGACCAGGCACTCCGGAGCTGCCCTTGGCATGCAGCCTGGCCCTCCTCACCCTCCTTGCTTCCCTCCTCAGGGATTTAGATGGGTGATAGATGCCCCCACCTCTGCGAGGCTCAGATTTGACGATCTATGCATCAGAGCTGGTGGGTGGCCCAGTGTCTATGGATTCTACATTTGCCAGGCCTGTTAAATGACCTGGTACACCTATGAACTTGCTCCCAGCCACTGTGTTAGGTAGACAAAGCCTGAGTTACACCCCCTCCCCTCAAGGGTACAGAGGAGAAGGCAGGGGGAAAAGGAGACAAGACACTATGAAGTTTGAAGTTGTCCAATATCACCAGAAGAAAAGCCAAGTTTGTTTCCTGGCTGGGAGCTGCCATTTGGTTATGGCTATTGCTACAAAGGGCACACGGATACTGTGTGTGTTTATCTGTTCAAAACAGGGTCTCACTTAATAGCCTAGACTGTCCTGGGGTTTATCGTGTAGCCCAGGCTAACCTCAAACTCCTGTCTCATCCTCCTGAGTGCTGGGATTACAGGTGTGAGCCAGCACACTCAGTAGTCTACAGGCTTAGTCTTTCTCTCTGCACTCCCTCTGTCTTGGTGAAAACTATCCCTTCTCATCCTCTTTTCTCTTTGCCTGCCTTGATCAGGGTTTATTTTAGTATTCTAAGAAGTATGCACTTTCTGGGCCCTGTTGATTCCTGTTGGGCACTTCTTTGGGACGGGAGCTGTGCTGTGTGTCTTAGGGTGAGTAGAAGCCCTGGTCTCTACCTACTAGATGCTTATAGAGACATGCTGTGGTGATGATGCTATGGCCCAATGTCCCCTGGCTTGAATGCAGAATCCTTCCTAGTAACCACTGTCCTGGACCCGGCAGTCACACTGCAAACCTTCTGTTCTAGCTCGATTTTTAACCTGCTCCACAGAGTGACCATATATATTCCTGTCCACCCGGTCCTTCTGAGTACAGAGGTAGACATCTAAATTACACAGGAACAGTAGGTGGGTGCTCAGCCTCTCCTAAGTGAGTGGGGACATTTAGTCATCAAAGCCAAGCTTATTCTAGAAGGGAGGGTGTATTCAATGTGTCCCAAGGTCATATGTGACTTCTATAGCTGGCCTTTGCACTCCTGGACTGTATCCTCTGAGAAACAACCTGTGAGGAGACAGGGAGGAGAGATAAACATTAGAAATAAAAAATTTTAATATCTATAGGCATTGTGCCTGCATTGTGTCTGTGCATCATGTGTGTGCAGTACCCATGGAGGCCAGAAGAGGGCAGTGGATTCCCCCAGAACTGGAATTACAGATAGCTGTGAACTGCCCCATGGTCGCTAGGAATCAAACTCTGACCCTCGGGAAGAGCAGCCTGTGCTCTGAACTACTGAGCCATCTACCCAGCCCCAACAGTAGGATTCTTTTAGTTAAATTTTTCTTTCATACAGTATGTTTTAATGATGTTTCTCCCCTCCACCAACTCCTCCCAGATCCTCCCCACCTCCCTACCCACCCAACTTAAAGTTTCATTTTGTGTTGTTTTAGGATTTGGAGGAGGGGGAGAGGAAGAAGGAGAGAGAGAGAGAGAGAGGAGAGACTACACTCAGGTTGACAGCACAGTGCCAGGAAGTAGAGACAACCCAATTGGTGAGTAAGCAGGTGAATGAATTGGGAGTCTGTCATAACAGGGACTATCAGTCAGCCTCAAAAAAGAGAGAGGGTCGTTCTGACACCCAGTAGGACACAGAAGAAACGAAACATTTCCTGTGAAGTGAGCCAGTTCTGAGAGGACACAGTGGAAGCTCCCACTGACAGGAAGCACCTGGGAGCCCCTGCGCCTCCTCGCTAAACTCACAGAGAGAAAGGAGGGAGGGCGGTGGGCGGCTGCGGGGCCTGGAGATGGGTGGCGTGTGAGTTAGCAGTCGCAGGGTTTCGGTTCTAGATGAGAGGTCTCTGTGCACTCGGGCAGCCTCGGGAGTGCACGTGGTGTCGCTGCTCTGTGTGTGCGCGGTGGCTGGGGTGGGAAATGACACGTGTGGGTACCGCACAACAAAAATAAGAGATTATTTTTGAAAATGAGGATCCAGGGCTGTGCCGAATGGGAAGTGCCAGCCGCAGGCTTGATGGATTCTCGTCACTGGTTTCCGCCCCACACAGGAGGGTCTGTGGGTTCGTTAGACTTGTCCCAAGAGAGTTTTATGAGTGTCCAGCCTCAGACACATGGCTTATCAGAAAGTACCTTAAAAATAGCAAGATGCCACAGCAGGTAAAGCCTGCTGCCAAGACTGACGACCTGGGTTTACGCCTCAGGACACACATGATGGAAGGAGAAGACCAGCTCAAGAAAGTCGGTTCACATAACCGCCATATGTGATCTGTGGCTTGCTCGAGTGCTTGCGCACACACATACACACACACGCACACACGTGCATGCGTGCACACACACATGCTTGCAAACATGCGTACACGTACCCACATATACACATAAAGAATGCTAACAATAGCAGTGGGATGACCGCAGCTTGTTCCCCTACCCCCATTTTGGAGATCTCCCTTACTCCAACTCAAGTAGCGCTCAGGAACCACCACCTCCCCCGTGTCCGTCTGGGTGGCATCCCTGTGGTCTGTTGTTTGTGGCGGCTTTCTTGGGATAGTGGTTTTTAATCCCCTACTGGTGAAAGAGAGATTGTCCTTCCCAGCCTCAGAGCCCTGGCTCTGCCCTACCCTGTGAATCAATAGAGGGAGGCTGGGCTGTCCTGTTCCTGACACCCACACAGGCTGCAGCTTGCCGGCATCAGGCCCGGCCTCACCAGCGCTTTCCCTGGGCAGTCCTGTGTAACTGGGGTGAACCTCGATGATCCACAACAATCAGATAAAAGGGCTCATGGAGGCAGTAGACGGGAGAACCAGAAAACCTCTGCTTTAGTGTCAAAAGCAAATTGACTGGTCAGTGATCAGGAGACATGTGGAAACAACCAAGAAACTGAGCATCCTTGACCAGGACAGATGACAGAGGACCCAGGATTGAGCTGGGGAGGCCCCGGAGTACCATGTTCTGGCTCTCTCCACCCTATGGGAGAAGAGTGGGTGAGCGAAAGACAACCAATGATTCACAGTGAGAGAGCAAATCACACCTGCAAGTATGTGTGTGTACATGCACGCATGTGCATACATGTGCACCTGCATACAGTTGTATGCGTGCACATATGTATATACAAGTGTACATGTGACTGCCTTTAAGTGTGCATACACATGTATGTAGGCCTGCTTGTATATATTTGTGCCTGATTTCATGTGTATGTATTTGAGTGTGTGTGTGTATATGTTCCAGCATGTGTGTGCCTGCTTTCGTATGTGCATACACATGTGTGTAGGCCTCCTTGTATGTTTTTGCCTGCTTACATGTGTGTATGCATGCACTTGAGCACATATACATGCATGTGTGCCTTCATGCATGTGTGTGCAAGTGTGTGCATGCAAGCGTATGTATACCTGGATGTGTGTGCGTATGCATATGTTCATACGAATGCACATGTGCCTACTTTCATGTTGGCAAATATGTGTGTGTCAGCAGAGCCATCGAAGTCTGTCTCCAGCAGGAGGAGGTCAGAGGTGGTAAGATCTGCATCAGATGCTGGTATAGCCTTAGTCAAACCACACCAGATTTTAGCTTCCATGGCGGTTCCTTGGGAATATTTTCCCCGAGCGGGACTGTTTCCAGACAGAAAACAAAACTGCTCATCCCACATGCAAGGAGCATGTCTCTGCCAGAAGCACTAACTCAGCCTAGGACCTGCAAGGGCCCGTGCTTATCACCCCTGCAGACACGGGGAAAAGGGGTCTACAAAGGGACGGGTGTTGCAAGGCATTGTGACTACCTTTCACCTCCAGTACTTGGGACGCTGAGGCAGGAGAATCACAAGTCTGAGACCAGCTTGAGCTATATAATAGGACTTTAGCTCAGATTAAAAAAAAAAAAACAGAAATGAAACTAAACGTTGAGATTTAAAACTGCCGCATTTAAATGCTGGTACACGCTGCTTGTTGTAGGGATATCAAATTACCGAAGCCCTCTCCACGGAAGTCTGGAGGGTGCCCTTCCCTGCATAATGGGAAGAGTCTCTATTTGATGTTACTTCCGATAACTACATCTCTCAGAGCGAAGGCAAACATGTAGGGCCACGGGAGTCGAACAAATATTTGTCCTGTGGTTAATATTAATGTGTATGTGTTTCCTTGGACCTTGTAGCCCGCTCTGAATTAGCGCCAACTGGTCAACAATCCACAGCAGCACAGCCAGTGAAGAGACGTGACTGTCGCCTTGCAAACAGGCCAGAGCCCTTCACCGTAGCCTCTGGTGACACATTTCCCCGCTCCTGGCTTGGGTCTTAATTGCCGACATGAACTGAGCCCCAATTACCGGGAGCACTTGAAAGGCATTATTGTGTCCCCTGATGTCACCTAAGCCCCCCCCCCCCCCCCCCCCCGTCCCACCTTCTCTCTTCCTCCAGATGTTTGGGCAAAGACAGAGAAATGAAGTCGCTTGATCTGGGAGTGTAGCCCTTGCCTAGACGTGTGTTACACCGGATGCCACACCCAGTGAAAGAGAGAGACAGAATTTAAAAACAAAAAACGAGCCTTTCGCCAAAAGTCAAGCGACTTGGTCCTACATGATGACGCAGACAGATGAAAAGCCCTGGGTTCAATCCCCAGCACCGCAGACAGTGGAACACAACAGAGCATGCCTGTAAGCCACAGCTTGCCCGATGCAGGAGAATCAAAAGTCCTAGGTCATCCTCCGCTACACCGTGAAGTCTCGGCCAGCCTGGGCTACGCGGGCTACAGCCTGTCTTAAATAACAACAACAAATTTGAAAACAAGTGAGAAATAAACGTAATTTGGGGGGGTCATTATTTACTTTAAAGATAATAGAGGCGAGATGGGAGGAGCTGAGGTCACAGGAGCGCACACCTCCGTCAGCCGAAGTGAGGCATCCGTGCTGGCTGCTGGGAAGGAGACACTCACTGCCTTAGAGGACAGCCGCAGCTGGGCTAGGAAAGTCTGCGTGCATCTGACTTTTGGTTTGCTCATCCGCAGCAGAAGCTAAAACAGATCAAGCCAGGCAAAGGCAGGGGGACACACTGGGGAGCGAAGAGGCTCCCAAGCCAGACCCTCCTGGATTCCGTGTCTGTGTGTGTTGCTATGAACCAAACCCAGGTCTCATGGGCTTGGCAGGTATCTTACCGCTGAGCTCCATCCCCGGGTCTTGTTGCTTCTGGCCCCTAACTCAAGGTGTGCCTGCCTTGACCAGCTGAGGCTCACACATGTATACCATCACATCTGGCTGAGCAACACTTCAATATTTAAAATGTAAACTCGGGGTCTGGGTGATGGCCCAGTGGGTTCAAAGCAGCCGGTACACAAGCAAGAGGCCCAGGGTTCCAGTTCCATGTGGTGATTCACCTGTGCTGGAAGACTTGGGGGCTGGAGGCAATTCTCTGAGCAAACTGGTTGGCCAGACCAGTGGCATCAGTGAGCTCTGGGTTTGATTGAGACCCAGGGGTGGAATAAGGTGGAAATGTGATTGAGGAGGGGTTTCCTACATGAACATCAAGTCTTTTACACGTGTGTGTATGTGTGCGCACATGCACACACACACAATTGTTGTGTTCTGGCTCCCTTGACTGTTCATGAGGCTACTCACAACTTCAGTGTCCCCAGTCCTCCTAAAACTAAACAGTAACAAGCACCATAATAAACTGAAGGAACGAGCACCCTGGAAGGAATTTCCTCAGCTTCTTATTCGAAGGGCATCAGTTTCCTCAAAAATGATCTTCTGTAAGAACTCGGGGCAGAGAACTTGCTGCAAAGTGTGTGGCTGGCGGCTGGCATTGCCACGTTGCCAGTGAACCAGACATTGTTAAGATGGCTAATGAGCTGCTTCTGCTCGGGTACAAACACCAGGGGCAAAGACTTTAGAATTAAGTAAATTAATTAATGCAGGGGAACTTATGTTTTAGGCTTATCAGCAAGCACAGAGGCAATAGATGAGTTCATTGACTGTACTGGCTGTCTGGAGTGCAGGGTCACGGTGATTGATTAGTGATGTCTGCCATGGCACAGCATAGAGAGCTCCACTCAGAGTGAGCCTTTTTTCCACACCTGATCTAGATGTTTAATACAGGACATACGCAGAGTCGAGACCTGTCCAGTTAAAAATCAATTTTGATGAAGATGTTGATTTTCTTTTCTTGGAGTCATTTTACTGCTTATCTATGTATATGCTCCATATCACCCTTTGTCTATTACAGAAGTGAAAGAAAGTGCAGGGAATTAGCAGACAAAATCAGTGAAGGGTGCAATTGTGAGCGCACGTGTACACACACACACACACACACACACACACACACACACACACACACTGCTCAGTAGCTCACAAAGAACCAAGCAGCATGAGGAATAGACTGCCCTTCTCACTCCCTTTTCTTCTGAAATCGTTCCTCCTCTCCCGCTGTCTTCCTTTGGACCTGGATCCCAGGTATAACTCCTCAGCCAGGGTCTGTTTTAAAACACGCCCACATCAGAACCTCCTTTGTCTCTCTGGTAAACACTTGCTCTGAGCCCCTAAGGATTTTTAGAAGTATTTGGCATCTCACTCACAGTGCTCAGCCATGTCATGACTGATGTACAGACGTCCTAGTGAGCCGACTTTAGGTAAAAATAGCCCCATGCTGCTGCACAATACATACTACACCCCAAGAACTTGTGCGGAAATGATCCCATTTCAGCCGACAGGGCCAGGGGAGGTTTGCTTCTCATTTTGCAGATAAAAACGCTGAAGTACCTGAGAAGCAAAAAGGATTCCTCGGTGTTGCATAAGTGACCTAGCTTGCCCTGTTCTTTCCTGTGGGGGTCATGATACCAGGTGCAGGTACCAGCTATAGGAGGAATACCAGCAAGTTAGTAAAATTCCAGGGACCTCAAGTTCCCATCTATCAGCAAAGGTGGCAGCTGCCTCATCAGCGTGGCACCGAAGTGGAAAGGTAGAAGCCCGGGCCCCTATGAGGCAGGCTGAGAAGTTGGCCCTCCAAAGGTGCGTCCAAGCTGGGCACGGAAGACCCAGAACCCGCAAAGTGGAAGCAGGAGAATCATATGTTTAAGAGCAGCCTGGGACTTTTTTCGATGGTTTTTGAAAAACATAGCGCAGACCACTTGCTGTGCAGGGCTGATGACCCAGTTCTACCTAGAACCCATGGAAAGTTAGGAGAGAAGCACAAAATTATCCTCTTCCTCCACATGTGTGTTATGGCACACATAAACCTGCAATCACACACATAGGACATGCCTATATACCTGTAATGATAAATAAATAATGTTTCATAGTAGGTTCTAGGAAGCTGTGAAGTCTCCCTAAATAGCACAAAATGTGAGCAAGTCAAGGCCTTCGGGGTGGGAGGGTTACCTAAGGTGGAGAGCCATTGACAAAGACACCTGATGACAACCTCTGGCCTCCCCGTGCATGTGCGCAGGCACACCACACACACACACACACACATGCACGCACATGCCAGGTAGAAGGGAGAAAAACGTGGGGGCCTCTCAAAGACTGTCATGCAAATCATTGGTGTGATATGCTGAGAACACAGACTCTCCCCAACCTTGAGACACATGAATATTCCCAGAAGTCAAGAGGTAGAAACAACACCCTTGTCCACCAACGAGCCAATGGACTAATAAAATGTCATCAGGTCACGGGCTGGAATATTATCTCCCCATGAAATGGAATGGCGTGCTATGGCATAAAGACGCCTGGAAGGCGACGCTGAGTGACAGCGGCCAGTTACAGCCTACATGGACCGTGACTCTAGGACAGGCAAACCACAGGCCAAGGACACAGATGAGGGGTTGTCAAGGGTCCACGGAGAGGGTAACCCGGATGACGAAGCGAGGCATAAGTTTGTGTATGTTCTGAATGAAATAGAGGCATTGCTGGTACTACACGGAACATGCTAAAAGGCACTCGCTCAAATATTTTAAACTGCTATATTTGTGTCATCTTTATTTGCCCTGAATTGTTCATATGTGTATATATATATGTGTGTGTGTGTGTGTGCATGCATGTGCGTGTGTGTGCATTGGCGTGCATGTAAGTGCATGTATGCATGTAAGTGGATGCCAGAGGACAACTTCTGATGTCCACATTGTTTTCTTGAGACAGGGTCTCTCCCTGGCTGGAAACTTACTAGCAGGCTAGGCTGGCTAGCTACTGAGCCCCAGGGGTTTGCCTCTCTCCTCTTCCCAGCACAGGAATTGCAGACCTGAAGCTTTAAAGTCACACTACAAGTACAGCTTCCTGGTGTGGTGAATATCTCTCCTACAACCTGAGCAGTTTGTATCATAGAGCAAACCCCAGGCCCCAGAGCAGGGTCCAGGGTCCAGGGTTCCCTGCTGCCGCCACACTAAAACTTTAAACGTCAAGCTAACGGTAGGCAGGGACAAGGTTGGCTCCAGACAGGGAGCTTTGTCTACTCTGAGGAGGGCCATTATACCATCAGCCTGTGACTCAGAGCCTTCCATGCACACTTCCAGCTGACTGCAGATTCATCACTAGGAAGCCCCTGCCAGAAGCACACTTGGTGCTGGGCAGGCAGAGAGCTTTTGAAGGTCCTTCCACAATCTTCCCTTCCCTTTGAAAACCCACATGCTGGTTTTTAAAAATTTCTTCTAGATGGTGCTGGCCTTTGCATTTCAATCTCTCTTCTGGAACCACATACCTTTTCCAGTTCAAGGAACTGGGTGGAACAAGTCAGGTCTTCAGAGACTTCTAGAACACGAAGGGCACAGTGCTCCTGGCATGTCAGAGCGCCAGCCTTGTTCCCAAACGCCTTGTCCTGATCTAAAGCAGAGAGATGACTTTTTCCTCCATGTAAAGGAGGCCACCATGGGCCCCAGGTGTGCAGAGGCAGGAGCTGGGGCAAGTCAAGCCTGGCTTCCAGTCACGGTGCCAGCAATGAGAGCAACCCCAGCACACCACGAGGGAAGTATTACAAAGCGGGGCATGGTGGCACATGCCTGCTATCCCAGCTCGTCAGAGGTGGAGACCAGAGGTCCCAGAGTCCGAGGTCGTCCTAGGCTACACTTTTGAAGCTAGCCTGGGCTATATGAGCTATATATTTTGTAGCCTTTAAATTAAGATTTCCTACCCTTTGTGATTATTCTAGTCATCTCTGGGAACTGGGGGGTGCAGGATGCATGGGAGCAGGGGATGCTTGACAGTATGTATGGAGACATACACCTTATAGACTGGAGTTCTCAGGACATCCTTCAACACAAAGCGTAGCACAGTCTGAAGTCCCGATGGTGCTGAGGCAGAACATCCAGCTGTGTAGCTGGAGATGTGGCTCAGTGGTTAAGAATACTGGCTGTTCTTGCAAAGGACCTATGCTCAGTTTCTAGTGCTCATATGGAAGCTCACAACCACCTGTAACT